GTACTAGCGGTGGCCTCCAACCTATAAGCAATGGCCTTCAACCTACTGGCGGTTGCCTCCAACCTAATAGTGATGGCCTCCAACCTAAATGCGATGGCCTCCACCCTAGAAGCAATGGCCTCTGAGCCCTCCTCTTTTGGGATTCTTGGGTTCAAACCTCGAGGAAGATCTCGATGGTGAACAAAGATCTGACAGAAAAAACATGTGACAAGAACCCATGAACGCAGCGTTGAGCAGTTCAGCTTTGGCTCGGTCAAATCACAAATTGCCAACAAAAAGACATAGTTCCAAGCATCAAATCTGTTGAACCTCATCAGAAACCTTGGTTAAACTGGAAAAATTAGGGTGAAAGTTGTTGTGGAGGAACCCTTTCGAAAGCAACTTGCCTTGCCGCCGCGCGTAGCTGCTAGGGGATGATCAATCGGCAAAGCGGATTCTAACCACCCATACCTCCCAGGGTGAAAGAAAAATGAAGCTACTAGTAACAAGTGCCCTACTAGTAGTAACAAGAAGCAACTAGTAACAAGTGCCCTACTAGTAGTAACAAGAAGCTATTAGTAACAAGTGCCCTACTAGTAGCAAGAAGCTAGTAGTAACAAGTGCCCTACTAGTAGTAACAAGAAGCTTTTAGAAACAAGTGCCTTACTAGTAGTAACAAGAAGCGATTAGAAACAAGTGCCCTACTAGTAGTAGCAAGAAGCTATTAGAAACAAGTGCCTTACTAGTAGTAACAAGAAGCTACTAGAAACAAGTGCCTTACTAGTAGTAACAAGAAGCTATTAGAAACAAGTGCCTTACTAGTAGTAACAAGAAGCTGTTAGAAACAAGTGCCCTACTAGTAGTAACAAGAAGCTGTTAGAAACAGGTGCCTTACTATTAGTAACAAGAAGCCATTAGAAACAAGTGCCTTCCTAGTAGTAACAAGAAGCTATTAGAAACAAGTGCCCTACTAGTAGTAACAAGTAGCCATTAGAAACAAGTGCCCTACTAGTAGTAACAAGAAGCTACTAGTAACAAGTGCCTTACTAGTAGTATCAAGAAGCTATTAGAAACAAGTGCCCTACTAGTAGTAACAAGAAGCAATTAGAAACAAGTGCCTTACTAGTAGTAACAAGAAGCTATTAGAAACAAGTGCCCTACTAGTAGTAGCAAGAAGCTATTATAAAGTGCCTTACTAGTAGTAACAAGAAGCTATTAGAAACAAGTGCCCTACTAGTCGTAACAAGAACTATTGGAAACAAGTGCCCTACTAGTAGTAACCAGAAGCTATTAGAAACAAGTGCCTTACTAGTAATAACAAGAAGCTATTAGAAACAAGTGCCTTACTAGTAGTAACAAGAAGCTACTAGAAGCAAGTGCCCTACTAGTAGTAACAAGAAGCTAATTGAAACACGCGCCTTACTAGTAGTAGCAAGAAGCTATTAGAAACAAGTGCCGTACTAGTAGTAACAAGAAGCCTTTAGAAACAAGTGCCCTACTAGTAGTAAAAAGAAGCCATTAGAAACAAGTGCCCTACTAGTAGTAACAAGAAGCTATTAGAAACAAGTGCCTTACTAGTAATAAAAAAGAAGCTATTAGAAACAAGTGCCCTACTAGTAGTAACAAGAAGCTATTAAAAACAAGTGCCTTACTAGTAGTAGCAAGTAGCTATTAGAAAAAAGTGCCTTATTAGTAGTAACAAGAAGCTACTAGTAACAAGTGACTTACTAGTAGTATCAAGAAGCTATTAGAAACAAGTGCCCTACTAGAAGCAACAAGAAGCTTTTAGAAACAAAAGCCCTACTAGTAGTAACAAGAAGCTACTAGAAACAAGGGCCGTACTAGTAGTAACAAGAAGCTAATAGAAACAAGTGCCCTACTAGTAGTAACAAGAAGCTACTAGTAACAAGCGCCTTACTAGTAGTATCAAGAAGCTATTAGAAACAAGTGCCCTACTAGTAGTAACAAAAAGCTACTTGTAACAAGTGCCTTACTAGTAGCAACAAGAAGCTACTAGAAACAAGTGCCCTACTAGTATTAACAAGAAGCTATTAGAAACAAGTCCCTTACTAGTAGTAACAAGAAGCTATTAGAAACAAGTGCCCTACTAGTAGTAACAAGAAGCTATTAGAAACAAGTGCCTTACTAGTAGTATCAAGAAGCTATTAGAAACAAGTGCCTTACTAGTAGTAACAAGAAGCT